TCTTCTTTTAACAAATGTTATTGATTGAAAGCTCAGAATTCACACAATTTCTATGCTTCTTTCAGTGAACTGTGAGGAGAAATAATCAATACTGAATTGCACTATGTTTTTGTTACAGCTGACAATAACTTTCACATCTATGGGTTAACAGAGCACGGGATTGTGGCCAGCAGTGCTGTGGCAAACTACACTCCTAGAGAACAGACAATTACGACACCTGTCCTTTGCGATTACTGCCAGTGCTGTGAACTGAGCTTTAGTGGCGAAAGGGTGACAAATGAACATTTGCCTGTTAAACTGAAACAAGCTTTTTTGGGAATTAGCTGGGCTAGTTAAAAAACAGTGACACCTAAATAAGTTTAGGGAGAATTCAAGTCCCTTAATTGACTTGAGTCTCTAATTTGTTCGCCTTATTTCTTTCAGTCTGAGAACACTAGATGAAAAAGTTTTTCCTGAATTTATTCAGGTACTCACACTCACAAAAGAGCAACACCAGGCTGGTATGATTGCACTGGGCAAATGGAAAACTTCCAATAGGACCAGAGTGCACGTATATGTAAGAAAAGCAGGGGTTGGGAAAAGATGCTATGTTGGTCAGAGCACAAAAGCTCCATTTGCACATCAGTGTCAGAAAAAGATAAACTGAAAAAGGTGAACTGCACAACATCGCAGCTCTGGTCTATGACACATGCTCACAAAAGAAGTCCCCCCCTTACTTCACATAGATACACTGACAGATCACAGATAATGAACTAAGCTGTATTAGATGCACATGCTCAAATGTAGGGTACCACGAGCTAGAATCAGCCTGCTCTGAAGACTGCTATTTTCAGCCTTGCAATAGGCTCTTAAAACGAAAGCACAGTGCCAAGGGTCACTCTAATGCATTTAAATTACACAGATAAAAAGAACTTCTGTATGTTTGTATAAATCCTGTTTCTAAACCACAGCAGGTTATTCGGGGAATTGCTGCTATGAAATAAAGGCTCTGTAGCTGAGGTGAAGTACATATAGCCCTATGCAGCACTATTGTATTCAGTGAAAAACTGCAGTGCATGACCCAAGGCAAACTTGTCATGAATAGACCTCCAGCTATGGCTAAAAACTACTTGCCTACCCAGTTAAGAACCGGCTCACAAAGTCAATTCAGAACAATGATGCTAGAAATAAATTTAATAATACAGATGACTTGTATATCAAGTTTGCAAAAAACACTAACTATATACAAAATAAATTCAGTCACAAGTGACATTTACATTTCATACAACTAACACTGACACTAATGTTGGATAGCTAATGTTAGATTGGTATTTGTAACATGATAGCTTATTGTTAGACAAGTACTGTTCTTTCCAAAAAAATGAATTAGTAAAAAAAATTAAAATTTTCTGGCAGCCTTAAGACTACTTTAGGGGGCAGTCAATCTCAGCATTTACCAGAGCAGTCGGTTTCATATCCTGAATCCTGACACACCCTTTCAATGACACAGTGCAGTTTCTTTGTCTGACCTCAGCTGGCAGATGTTAAGCTATTGTAGGAACACAACAAAATAAAGTCATTTGCTGCCAGCATGGAAGACAAAAGGCTTCTGTAAAGCTCTCTACCGTGCTCCTTCACAATGAACCAAAGGTGGTCCCACTGAGCAGGTGCTTAGAGGATGAGGCCAAATTACTGTAAACTGAAATGGTCAAATCTACATAATTATTCCAGCCACCTCCACTTCACACAGACAGAAGAGAATTGTACCTCAGAATATCTCTTTCAGAATGAATGCAGTGTGCAGCTGTAAGAGCCGAAGCCATTCATATGAGACCCAAGGTCTTTTCTTCAGAGACACGAGCTGGGGTGTGAAATAAAAAATGCAGAGCAGATAACGCCTTCCCAGCGGGGGTGTATACAGTTGCGTTTAATTACAACAAGAGAAGACTCCCTTGGAGATGTCACAATCATACATGCATCGGTAAAGAAAAACCCGCCCAACAATGCAGACTGCAGGGGCCTGCGGAAGTTCTTGGGGTTACTGCATAACAAAAAGGGGAGCAAAAACCTGCCCCATTGTCTGGCTTTGGGGTGGGACATGAGGAGCAGTGAAAGTTTGAGAAACCCGAAGGCACCTTCATGCATTTCAATGGCAGGCATTCCTGCATGACAAGAGCGCTGCTGCTAAGAACACATCCCTGTCCCTCTCACCCTGTCGTAAAGCAACGTGCCCCCTCCCTTTCTAACGCAAGACAATTGTTCTCTTGTTTTGCCTGATAACAGATAAAGTGCTTCTTATGAATAGCGGTGCTGCTGGAAAGAACACAGAGATATTGCAGGTGGGCGGGGGGGTTGGGGCGGCGTACTCTGAAGACTTGAGGAGAGGGAAGTGTACAATCATATCAGTGTTTGGAGCCACTAAGGGAAACACAATGTTATGTATTTATATTTTTTATTTTTCTGAATCTTACCCTTTTATCCCTTGTGGGGCAAATATTCAAAATTGATGAAGTGCTACAGTTTTGAGTTCAAAAAATGCACCACAGTTGCGGTTCAGAAAGTATTGCTTACTGCCATGGGGCAAAACAAAACCACTCATTTAAAAATCACTTTGAAAGTCTCACAGGCATTTTCCAGTTCTGCACAAGAGCAAAACTGCTACACACGGTACGAAAAAGGGCTCTCACCAAGAAATTTGCTTAAATATAAATATGATTAAAATGCAGGTTTTTATTTTTTGTTTTTATTTTGCATACATAGGCCAAAATCACTTGAGGAAGATGGACTGAAATGCACAAAAGAAGTGATGAACCTTGGCATGCTAGCGTTTTATCACAGTTACAGAATAAAGGAAATCTGCAGCTGCGAGCTAGAAAGTTGGATCCTGCACATTCACAGTGAAAAATGACAGACTGCTGAATGCAGCTCTACAAAGAGACTATGGAACAGAATGCTGAACTGCTTTGCAAGGATGACGTGAGAGTTAAAAAACTCAGTAAAGCTGACAGTGTAATCTGGGGACAATCTTGTGGAAACTTTAAAGTGATATGTTGACAAACGAATTTGGGTCTGTGTCGCTGGCAGTGAAATTCAGCTGCGCATTTCTGAAAAGGCCTGATGTCTACATGGTGACAATAAACACGCCAAAGGACGTGCAAACAGGCCATCTTTCTCAGCAGGCTTCAAATTAAGCACGTCAGGAGAATCCCACCGGCTAAACGAGTACTACCAGGTGTGACTCTGCCAGTGGTGTGTGTCCTGAGGGGTTGGGGGGAGGGGACATGAGGTGACGCTGCACTAAGAACAAAAAACAGATGTCTCACTCAGGACTATTTGCTGTGGCCCCATTTTTTGGCCTCTGAATCCTATCTGGTCTGGCAGGAGTCACAAGTTTTAGTAGATATGCTACTAAGAGAGCAACAAATATTCAGAAAATATCTCCGCTACCCATTTAACACTCCGAACCTAATCATGTAATTTTGGTAGAATTTAAAGCCCTTTTAGCTCTAATACTAAATCATGCTTATCAGATAAGTTAAAATCCTCTGAACCTGTAGACTCCAGCTGTAGGAGCTGCAGACTACAGAGCTGAGACAAGCCAGACAAAGGGCAAAAAAGTCACATGGAATGCCACATAGTTGCAGAACAGCTTGTCAATCATTCAGCACAAGACACCCTCCTGAAATAGACCAGGACTGCATGATGTGGACACTACAGGATATTACAACTGCTATTATACTGCTACATATAACGACTGCAAAACGACTTACAATAATATTAGATAAATATCTAGATAGTATAATAGTAGTATAATATATACAAAAAACCTATCTACAAGCATATATACAACTAGAAATATACAAAAATATGCAATAAGATCTATTAGAAATGACTGCACTACTTTTACCAAAATAATTTACCTTTTTTAAATTACATGAATACCTTGTTTCATCCAAACACCCACAGAAAGACTCGTCTGGAACTGTGATTAGTCAGGATGCTCACAGTACACATTAAAAAACGCAGTGATTGATCAGGGGGCTTATTTGCATATCGTACCTTCTGCGGTATCAGTATTACAAAGAGCAATGTCACGATAACGGTTAACAAACGATATACACTGGGCAGTCCCGAAACAGACACGTTCTTGAAAAAATAACTGACTGAAATAGCGATGAGCTGCAATGCATCTATCCAGGCCTGGCCAAATGGGCCTTCATGACTCTCCTTGAAGCCATATGGCTGTCCTGTGTGCAACGGTGCTCTTGATACTCTTTCTGATACGTACTAGATAATGTGTAATTAATATGTAATACTGATGATGATATTGATGATGAAGAATTGAATCTTTAGGCTATGAAGGCTACATTCACATTCAAAAGTGAGGGAGGGAAACCAACGCCTCAATTGTCCACACTGACTCCCCCCCTCCACACACACACACACACACACACACTCTTTCTCTCTCACTCGTACACACACACACACTCCTACAAAGAGTTATCTTAAAAAGACTGATACAGAAATGCAGCCACGTCCTCTTTAGCAAATACAAATGCAAACTTTCCATCAGCGTTTAGAAAACCTACATGTCCACATTCCGGATCAACAAACGGTTGAGGCAGACGGTTTCTGTTAATCTTATCTGTCCGCCGTTCACTGGAACCTCTTTAGATAACATTAGAACTCATCAAGACTTCCTGGTGAGACTCTTTTGACTTTTTCATTCATACGAAACCCAGTTCAAACTGATTTGTGATATTTTCACTCACCTGTACGGCCTACTTTAGTCAGTCTATTAACACTGAGGCAGTTTCAGACTGTTACACTGAGAAAGTCCACATTAAACTGGCAGTGAGTGAGAGACCCTCACCGCAGCGGACCGTCAGTCCCCCGTTATTGTTCACCCTGCTGTGTGTGGACCGACTGTGAAAACGCTAACAGTTAACCTACAGACGCTGCTAACAGGAGAGCAGATAAAGCGTTAGCCTGTTCAGAAATGTAAAGCACAGTGAGCTCACCTCGCTCCAGGAGGGACACGATGAGCAGGGCGCTCGCAGAAAACACCGTCAAGCGCATCCTCGGAGAGTTTAAGATAAAAGCTTCTCTCTGAAACAAAACCTGAGAAATCCAAGTTTCCTGAAGTTTCGGTTACAGGACTAACGGCCGCCGAGCTCGGAGCACCGCGTGCGTCAGCGAATTCAAACTTCAGGAACCGTTGAGCACGTGCGCGTGATAGCTGCAGAAGTGATGAGTGTGGTTGTTGCCCGAGCGCACCTCTGCACGCGCGCGCGCGCGCCTATAGGCTTCGAAGCTCCGCCCCCGCCCCGCCCTCACTCACTCGCCCGTTTCCAGAACAAGCTGCTCGTTTCGCTCGATGTTCTCAGCGTTTAAAACGAGATATCAATTTATCTCAATTTGACGAAGAATGATGAAACTGGAATTCTGCAGAACGTGTTTTGTCCAGTTTCATACAGGTATTTCGTCCGAAATCGAGCGCTATGTAGCCTACTGTGGACTTATTCGCAAGTTTTACTGTATTTTTTTTATTACAGTACTGTTCTCCTGCTTACTTAAAGGGTAACTCCATTGAATTTTCAAAATTGTTGCATAATTACATGATTGAGATGTAAAGAGCAATTATGAGTGGTTTGATGTGAAATGCTCAATTCTAGAGAATCTTACCAAGTCAGGATAGAGTAGTGGTGGTGACAGGAACCAGACCTCTGAAGAGTTTAATACTCTTAAAAGTTACTTTACCGAAAGCTACTATATGAAATGGTTATGTATGGCCTGCTCTGTCTGATGTCTGAGATATTGTGTTATGATTTTTCTAAGACAAGCTTTTAACCTCAAGCTTATTTTTATTCATTCGTTCATGGTGGAAGGGTACATGAAGGGCATTGTGAGGCAAACTAGTGAATAAAATGGCTATATTTGTGCCGTAGACATTGTGACCCTGGCTCCTAGACATTGTGACCCTGGCTCCTATCACCACCACTAAAGAAATCTGAGACTGTAGGTTTCTCTAGAAACCACTGAATTATGCAGACATTTTGAAAAATCTGTGGAATTTCGCTTTAACTCAAGTACTTCCTGCATTGTATCACTGGTTGTCAGCAGTAGTACTATATGGCATTCCGTGAAAGGGGAGCTTTTCCGACTACAGAGACACAGCTAGTCAACTTACAGCCTTGAATTTTTAATGATGAAAATCCTGTGAGAATCTTGTATTTGTATTTTGTCACATCATTCAAAAACACACACTTTAATACTTTTTGATACGTTTACAGCATAAACAGAGGACACTGATTGCATATATCCTGTCACTGAGGACATACTAAAAGTTGAATGACCTCTCAGAAACAACAAATGTTAGGATGAACAGAGTTCAGTGTTTATTTTGTTTGGATTTTAACTGGTTGTTTTATGGCATCTGTGTACTGTTCATCTACATGGTTGAAACAACGCTTTGGTGTGTATCAAAAATGGGAATTACTGGCAGTTGAGCTGTCAGTAAAGTGCTGCAAATTTACATTCAAAGCATTAAAATATTGTAAACAGGCAATATGCTCCTGCATATCTGCAGTAATGCTGGACATGTTTTGCAGTGAAAGAGTACAGAAAGTACTTTGCTGTGCTCAACTACTGTACAGTACAGTAATGTTTACTGGTAATGTTTCAGTGTTCACTTACATCAGAGCCCAGTTCCTAGAGAGCCTCACAGCACTGATCCAACTAGTGGGGGTAGAGATAACTACACTCTACAGATAACTGTTGCACCACCCAAAACAACAACATGTTCTACAGATACCTTTATCACTACCCAAAATAAAAACAACTGTGCTTTTCAGATAACTATCTACCACAAACATCTACTAAGACTCCACCTTAAAGACCATCAAAGCTAAACAAAAATTTACTGCATGGTTATTGTCTCAATTTTCTGTTATGTTGAATGCATTTGTACGTGAAATCTTGATTTGATTACATTTTTGCATATGTATATTGTATGCTTTTCACAACAATTCCTAGTTCATTTTTATGGGTAACCTGCCGCAAATGATACAGTAAACTCTTATAAATGGTCAACAGCTCCTAGAATTCATAGTAGAATATAATATCATACCATAATAACATACCATAATTTAAGACAATAAGATGTCTTTGTAAGTATTTATTGTAAAACTACAGCAATTTCTACAGAATACTATTTGTTCAATACCACGGAGCCCTGCTGGTGACATCCTCTATAAATAAAAATAATGTGTGGCCAAACCGTATTAACTCATGGGAACAGAGATCCTAATGTGTGGCCACGAGTTAGTAAGGCGTGGGAACAAGACAAAGGCGTAGGAACAAGATCATGCCTTATTAAGCTGTGGTCAGGACTCAAATATTATCTTGTTCCCAGGTCTGACTAAGTCACAGCCACGCATTATTTTAATTTATACGGGATGTCCAGCAGGGCTCCGTACAGTACTGTGGTTTTAGATATGCCCTTCTTTCTGGAGTATTACTTCAGCATAGGCCTGCTATATAGAACGTAAATATGCGATTTCACAGTCCAATATGCGAGTCCAATTTTGTTTGAAACTGAATTCTTTGTTTCAGATGTGACTCAACCCCTCTTTCCATGCGATTCCCACGAGTCTGAGATCATTTGTGGTGTGCATGGTCTGAAGAGAAAGGAACAGCTGAATAACCTTGAACAACTTGCTAATGCTATGTGGAGAATGTTTCACTGCACTGCGAATAACTCTGCAAAAAGAAAGACCTCAGCATCAACGATGTGTCAGAAAAGTTATGTTCTTTTAATATATCGTATGCCCAGTTCTGCTATGTCTGTAATTATACATTTCCTGTTGGGACATATTTCTGCAGTGTAATATATCTGAAGTGTTCTGGCCATGGCCATACAGTCTATAAAGCAATACAGCTTTAGGCGTTGCTCTCTCTTTGAATAATCTGTTTGGATAATTGCAGTGAAGTAAGATCAAAGAATGCAGTGTTGTGTTTTTCTTCACTCTCTCCTAATTCATATTTTAGCTGTTATTACTGCACTGTTAGGATAGAAGTAGAAGGACAGGGTGGAGTATACGATCTCACCTCATTCAAGTTCGCCTTCCCCTCTCCCACACCTCCTACTGGCTGGCCATGAGTGCCAATGCACTGCTTTGAACATTGGGAGCTGCAGTGTTGGAACATATGAGTGGCTCTGCTTGTTTGTAGGCTAAGAGAAGTCCAACATGGAATCCTACATATTTCTTTCGGTATGTGTGCGGATTGAGATGAAATATTTGTAGAGCTGTCATCTGAATAGCCCCTTGAAAACCTGACCCTGAAAAGTCTTGATATAAGGGATGAGTTTGTAGGAAAGTCACAAAGGAAGAGTGACTAGAATGACTAGTCTATGATTACTGTTTGTACAGATTGCTAAAGAACAGGAAATAGGGGAAAAGCCCTTGAACGCTCATCTTTAATAAAGATTCTTCACTGGGACCTCACTGGGACTAATGCATTCTAACTCTCTACTGATAACAGTATTCAGAATTACTGTTCTGTTTTGGTTTCGCAACAACAGAGCGTTTGAACCGTGTTATTAACTATTTACCATCCAGGGCCGTCTTGAGGGGTAGGCCAGGCCTTGGGCGAGTCAACCTTTGTGGGTCCTCATTAGCAACTCTCTGAGGAACTGTTCAATTCTGCATTTAATTAATCACTTTTCTTTTTCTTTTTTCCTCTGCTCTCTTAACTGCTGTTTGAGCTCGCTACTTCGTCGGGCAACTTGAGCCCACGCACAAAACTTCAAAAAGCTAGCTACAGGCAGAACGTACACCCATGACTGTTCAGCATGGGGACATAACATAGTTTTATCTCCCACATAATGTCAACTTTTCAAAACACTATGTTAGCTAAGAGTATTTCCACGTGTCTGGATGTGCTTCACAATCATAAGCACTTTGCCTATGTAAGAGATGCCGGTAGGAATTTGGGCCCTTTGAAAATGTATAAAAGCGCCCCTTGCTTCACCCCATTTGCCTCAGCAGGCCCTGTCACATTAAAACATGCCAAAATTTTGAGAAATTCAGTCTTTATTCTGTTGCAGCGCCATAATTCCAACTCTTACTTTCACCATGCTGTCATCTCTAGCATGCAGCAAGTTGTGAATATAAATATAATGTCTTTGTTGGATTAAAATCTTGTATCTCTGAAAACAGTAACTTTATAGGAGAAGGAAAAATATTCTTACCTTTCAATTTAAGTTAATGTAAAGATATTTCTGCTGATATTTTCAAATAATGTTAAAAAATTAAAGAACAACATGTGCAACATGACTGCATATCAATATACTGTATGCAGCATTCTGTTTAAACTAATTAATCTCAATTAAAAAACAATGAGAGAAGATGAGAGACCAAATTTATTTAGCTAGTATTGCTTCAACGTTTACAACCACAGATTATTGCACCAATAATGAGCATGTACTCATCCCAGAGGTATTACATATTGCTCTGTCACTCCAGAGAACAACTGTGTCAATAGATACACCTTAGGTCCATATCCTACATTTTTCTTGGATTTTTTTTTTTTACTTGAGGTCTGCTTATAACATTTGTGTGGGTTTATGTATCAAAAATAGTCATAATTCACATTTATCAATAAACCTCTCTTTATCCTTTAGAATGAACCAGTCTGTTTTTATTACTTTGTCTTTAAGGCTGATATATGTAAATGAGTGCTGTTCTGATTGGCTGCCCTGTGTTGTGCCTTGTTTAAGAAGCACTCAGAGCTGAAACACTCCTTATAACGTCCGTGAGAATGGGTGGGGCTAAACTGCTGTAGGCTGAATAGGTAAATATATGTAAATGAGCTGGTTCTCGTGACATCACAGAAACAATGGACTCAAAAATGGGCTGTTTTCTGCAGCTTACATTGACTGGAGAGTGAATGGTAATCTTTGAAACTTTAACAATGTTTACATACCACATCAAACTTGTTTATTGCAAAAAAAAAAAAAAAACAGGGGAAAATTGCTTTCCATGATATACGCCCTCAAAGTAACCGAATTCACTTTTAGATACTTTTGGAAATATAATGTGTGTTCTTGTTCTTGCAAGTCAAGAGCATTGTTGCCAGGTGGTTATCAGACACAGAGCAAGTCCTACCCAGCCATACCAATATGACCCCATGGCAGGGCAAATGCTTCATATTGCACCAAGATTTGTCATTGATTCAGTTTCCATGCAACAAATCCAGACT